CACAGAAACAGTACTATATAACATTTTAGACACATTCTAGACAGTTTATCAGCTAAAAAAAAGTTAATTTTGGGGTAAGTTACTCTTTAAAGCGTCTGACATGCATATGCATGAAATACAAAAAGTCAAAGAAAATATATTTATATTTAAGAGACTTTGCATAATACACATGATTTGAACCATTATGACACATAATTGGCATATTTTCTTGTGAATTTTGTTCAGCTAAAGTGAAACAGGAAGTGACATCAAAGGGCAACTCTTTGAGAAAGAAAACCCCTGGTTTTTGTTTATTGAAACAATATTATTTGAACTCTGACTCTTTCTCATCTCTCTCTGATAGAGACCCAAAATAATCTAAAGAAACATCAGATTCTTCTCTACAGTCTGTGTTGTTGGCCATTTTAGCAATGCTCTGTTCACATGCAGATATTACCCTTTGACATCACTTCCTGTTACTTCACATGCAAATATCTCAACAACTGTTCATCTCAACGGCATGAAATCTTTTTTACAATATGTTATCAATGTTATTTTTCCAAAAATACATTCATATTTATTATAAAAAATTGATATCACAGGCACTTTAAGATCTGCTCAAAACTCTGCATATTCCAGCCTTTTGAAGAGTATTTTTCTAACATCTTGAGATAAAACAACATAAAATCTGTATTGTATGAAGGTAGAACACCAAATATTAACCTGAACTTTATCTGAGACCATTGTTTTTTTCTGTTTACACAATGAGCACCARTCTTGACTGCATTATGTGATACGTTTAGCATGAAACATCCTCTGCACCATTTAGCACGTCATGTAGAAACAAAGCAGCTAGGAGACCCACAGAAGAAATAAACTTCATAAACCTGAGTAACCAGTGATTATTCTACAGACTGGATCAACTAGACTGAGAAAAAGTAAAGTAATAAATAAATTTAAAAAAAATCGGCCCTCATTTGTAGCGCCCCCTAGATGGACGGTACCCTTATTGTTTGTCTATACTGCCTATGTCTCTGGCCATGATATTTATAAGTGCTGCTAAGAATAGTTGAACCTTAACCACAGTGGGTCTGAGCTACAAAAATCTGTATTTGTCAATGAACAACAAGTAAACAAGATTAAAAATAAAATATTCACCATTTTACATAATGTGGAATTAAAACAGCTCATTGACTCAAAAAGATTTAAGTTTGAGACAAGGAGGTTCTATAGAACAACTAGAGTGCTCAGAAACCACGTGACCATGTGATCGGCTGGTGAAGCTAACGGCTAACACAAAACAGTCAAAAGTCTGGATTTCCCATTACTGTACATGTTGACAACAGAGCAGAAAAAAAGGACTGACCATGTAGAAATCATAAAAACTAGTTTCACAACACAAGTCAGCAGATTTGATCTTATTTAGCTCAATGTGATCTGAGCAGAACATAATGTAACAGTTTAAAATTAAAATAATCTTATAAAGTCAATGTAATCACTGTTATTTATTGAACTGGTTAGCAGCTATTAGCTTGTGGAGCATATATACAGAGTTTAGCACTGTTGAGTCATGCTACAATTTAACACAAACTATTAAATATTACAACTGATATGTCCTCTGATTAATATTTAGACCTACAGAGTGTAAAATAATATTATAAATGTGAGTATTTTAAGGTTTCTGTTAGAGGAACCTGACATGTTAAGGAGGTGGTTAGCTAATAGAGACAAGTTTCATCCTATAACAGGTATACAGAGAAGATTTTCTAACTGTTGACTGGTAAATATTTATTATTATTATTATTTTATGACAGTAAAAAGACATATTAAATATACTTTATTACTAGCTGAAGTCATCATTTTTCAACAAGCTAAAGTCTAAGTTACAGGCTGACTTCAGGTCTGGTTGAGATCATTGTTACTTATAAATTATATATTTTTCTGGTAAAAATCTGCTGTTTTACGATTGTTGAATGAAATTAACATAATTATTAATTTATTGTAAAAACATCAGATAATCTGTGAAACAGATCCGGTTCAGCTGCTGTTTATCTATTAGTTTCTGTGGAGGCTGTGAGCTGTTATCCTGTTTGGTCACAGATGCTAACAGTGGACGGTATGGGCGAGGCTCAGTCTAGGTGTTCTTATTCAAGTCTATGGTTTGAGATGGTCCGTTGTGTGAGTGTATTTCTGGTGCCCCTCTGTGTGCAGGTCGAGTCGTGAACCTGGCCAGCATGTACGGGAGGATGGGCAACCTCATGCGATCGCCCTATTGTATATCCAAATACGGCGTGGAAGCTTTTTCCGACTGCCTGCGCTACGAGATGAGAGCCTGGGGAGTCAAAGTGTCCGTGGTGGAACCGGGGAACTTCGTCATGGCCACCGGCATCCTGACCCGGGACTTCGTGGCCACCGCGGCCAACAAGCTGTGGAGTGAGGCGCCGGCCAAGGTGAAGGAGGATTATGGGAAGAGCCACTTCGAGCATCTCATGGCTCTGATGCGCTCCTACTGCAACAGCGGGGAGAAGRACATGGCCCCCGTGCTGGACGACATCACGGACGCCATCGTGTCGAAGCGGCCGTACACCAGGTACAGCCCCATGGAGCCGCACTGGTGGATCAGAGTGCAGGTGATGACCCACCTGCCCGGCGCCATATCTGACCTGCTCTACTTCTAAAAGAAGACGAACAACCTGTTTGCCTCCGATCAGTTAGCTGCAGATTTTACGGCACATTATATGAATCTCTGAAAAGTAAACCCAATGTGGGGATGCTGATGGACATTAAAATCAGTCACTGATTTTTACCTTAAGTGGAGGTTCAGATATTTAAATGTAAGGCTCTGTGAAAGATTAAGATACGTTAATATCTTACCTGTTGCAGATAACTCTTTAAACAGCCTCAGTCTGAAGAAATGGCAGTTGATTGATTGATGACCAAATTGGATTGCTTTCATCTTTCAACAGCTCCACGGTAGTGGGCAGTAGCAGCCAACTGTAGCACTTGATGTAGCCTTGGGTACTCCTGGCAGGAGTATCATATATTTTCTAGAATAACTCTAATGTGAAATTGATGGTGGTGCAACACTTTTAATCATTTTTTGCACAAACTTCTAAAYGAAACAAGTGTTTTGAGACACCAGCAGTCCACTTTTGAATTGGCTTCACTCAGACTAACCATTAGCTCATCAGTCTGGTCAGGACTTTCTGTTCTACCTGCAACAGGCTGCGTACTCATTTTCAAGACCTTATTTTTTACTGATCCTCACTTAAAAGATTTGTAACTGTAAAATTATTACAAAAATCATAACCTGATTAATACACGTTGCAATAAGTAACTTTATATTTGTATGAGCAGTGTTCTGGCACATCTATAGCTATAAATACTACGTACTGTATGTGTTGTTTGTTGTGGTATTATCTTCAAAGATTTCTGCTTGTTTCTTTTCTTTTTTGTGTGTTTAATGTGGCACAACGACTGAAGCTGAAAGCCTCCTGTTCTGTTGTAGCTCACACTGGACCAAACTGTGGTCAGCTGTGGTGTTATTTAGCCAGACTCAACATTAAGTTACATAAGAGCACCAACACAAGCCTGCTTTTGTCTCACATGCTCCATGAAAACCAGCACGCTGTAGAAACTGAAGGGATTAATGAGGGCATTTAATTAAATTTTTTTTTGTGGGGGGGGGGACACGACACTATTCCTACTTTTAGTAGCAAAGTATTTTATATTGTATTGAATTTTGCAAATGTATAGAGCAATCTATTTTAAAAGAAAAGTATTAATCAGTCTGACTAAAAAATGTTTTCTTGAAAATGTTTTGTAATTTTTCATTTTCCTTTCATTCACTTAATAAATATGAATAGTTCATATAACTCAAAATATTAATAATGAAGGAAAAGGGACAGAATTAAGTATAAACTTATCTGCCTCAGTCTTACGCCTTTAACTGTAATTTTTTTAAATAACCAGCAGAGGGCGCACATGTACCATTAAAAAAAACTTGTTTTATGTCCATAATGGACTGAGGTTTAATGTAACTTTTACATTCAYGTAGAATTGATAAAAAAATTCACACAAATTTAAGGATTAACAGACCTTTTTATGCTTTTATTACAGCTTTTCCAACACTCTAAAACACCTAAATTATAACACCTGAAGACAATCTCTGYTCCATATAAAAACAGTATTAAGAACAAGACCTTAACATTTCACAGCACTGCCTTTTCTCATTCCACAGCATGACTGCTTTCTTTACTCTCTCAAACAAGATAAAAAAAATTAAGACAAAGAACACCACAGAAGCACATAAAGCACCAGAATGAAAACATGGGCCACYTGTTCTCAATATTATCAGACATTTAAGCGTAAATTGAAAATTTTCTCAGGCTTGTTCTGCAGACAAGGAACTAAAMGTTCCTGCTGCTCTGTAGTTTTCCACTAGAATAGTTTGATAAACAATCATATCTTTCACAACTGACGTCCATTTCTTTTTATACAGACCATTTGTGTACAGCTAAATGGTTCTGCTCACGCAGTCTTCTGTAGTATGAAAACATCTCCGAAGCAAAATGTTTGCATGAAATATTTAACTAGTACGGATTTTTGTAATTAAGTGGCTAAACTGCACAYGTCTTAGATATAAACATAAAATGATATTCTTAGAATCCTTGACCGTTTCCTAACAACCAACATGTAATATTACTTGAGGTGCTCATCCATAAGATTTGGGGTTACGCTCGATAACACCGGCACATTTTCTTCAAACGTACACGTAGGCATTCACTGTTCATCCAACAAGTTACACTTGAAGTCAGCTGTGATAAGGTCACTTGAAACTAAACGGCATGAACTCAAAAAGGGCATTTTATGCGTGAGCGACAGAAAGGCCGTGACATCTTTCGGCCGCCATCAAATCGAGCGCTTCATCAGGAAACGCACTTTCCTATAGGGAGGTGCTCGCACGGAATCACTCCACTGATGCACATGCAAAGCTTTAACCAAAGCTGGTGGTGAGTGAAGTGGCAAGGACAGCATAATGGAGGGGGCGGGGAGGAGAAAAACAAAAAAAAGATACTAAAGCTTTGGTTGCCAGAAAGCTGTGAAGGCACATTAAAATCTAAAATCTTTTGGGGCGAATTGTGTTGATCAGCTGAAGAACTGAAAATCATAAAAAATGTTCCCACAAGAGGTGGAAAAAAAAAGTTTACTGCTCATTCCTGCAGATAAACACATGTGTCTGCAAAGTGGCAATCGGGGGATTGGGGAGCTAATGAATTAAGAGGATTCTGGTTTCAGAACACAGGAACTAATGGCCTCTGCAAACTGAAATGCTGATTAATACTTAAAACTTACAGATTTTGAACTAAAAAAAACAGCAACTCTCATCACAATTAGCTTTGAAGTCTTGAAACTTGTGTCTGCTGTGAAAAAAAGGCTAAAGTTAGCATTTTTGCTCATCGTAATCGCTTCACTGATTGTTCTGTCAATCACCTGGGTCCAGGAGGGGAAAAATAAATGTTCACACTGATGTTTTGTTTCCTTACTGGCATGCTTATACTTACTAGACCTTAAAGTGCTGTCAGARTACTCCCATCTAAAATCTTACATCAGCGCGTCTGGAAGCGACTGACTGGGCGTGGTTGTTCCACATGATCGAAGAGCATGTTCTGCTGCGTGCAAGTCCACTTTTTCCTTTCCCCCCTCTTTTTATGCTCGGGGGGTGGGGGGTCCGGTCGGCCCCAGCTGGAAAAGTCATCATTGCAGGCATCGTGATCATCGTCCTCCTCCTCTTCCTCCYGCTGCCGGAGTGGCTCCCTGCCAACGCTGCAGCAGCTCTGATTGCTGCCATTCACCATTTAGTCCTCTTCCAGTCAAAAAGCACATCCTTTGCTGTAAATATGAACCATGTGCGCTGCTGACAACATTTACATGCCCCTGCATTTTCACTTWGCTGCACATGTGGTAGAACAAACTGGATTCTTCTGAGCTTTCCCATGGTTTTTTTGAAATAATGGTTAAATATCAAAGAAAAGCACCTCAAACTGCTTTTTGTCATCTGCGCTTCATCATAACCGTTTCCCCTCCAAAAAAAAAAAAAAAAATCCTTTATGCCTGCTTAAAAGAAGGCGTTTACTTGTRTGATGTATATGCTTTGCGAAGGCACACACCCGACCTTTGGGTGACCCCTTCCGTTCCCTCCAGTAATCACTAATTCAGGAGCRGTGACATCATCCCCTGAACTGCGTGGACTGGCCCTCAACTTCCCCTCTGAGCTCCAGAGAACTTGCTTTTTTTATATTGTTTTCCCCACTCTCACTTGACCATCTTCCATCCCGAAGTCTATCCCGGTAAAAAGTACTTCGAAGCTCCTCACACGATGCAATGCGCAGACCTTAAGTCGTGTCTGTGGTTTGTTAATCTCTCTTTTGGAAAACACAAGGTTGGAGTATTGTTGCATTTGGGTGCATCCATGCAAAGTTAAGGAAATCAGAGCTTCTGGCTTGTCTGTGCCTCCTCGGCTTCAAAAACATTCACATGATGTGGATACAGCAATGTGTGAGACAAGCAGTTCTGTTGCACAAAAGGAAAAGCTGACTTGTTATAGTTTGATTTCTGCACAAGAAAAATAAACAAACAGATGCACAGTGTAATATTTCAATTTCAACAACATTAATTCTAGCAGAAACGTGAATAAATATTACGTTTGGTCACTTAAGTTTTATCTGTGATTAGCAGAGGTTGGAGAGTAGCTTCCGCAACATGTAGAGAGCATTGACACAACAATGTTGACCTGCAGGCATGTTTCTGAGTGTGCTCAAAATATCTCCATGTTGTGTACTTAGAAAAAAAAATAAAAAGAATCACATTTTCGAAAGAAACTTAAAATAAAAAGATTATATATTATCAAAAGATGAAAACTAAATGAAACTCTAATAGATATGGTGAAATACAAGACCTAACTCGTGGATAATTTAAAATGTGACCAAGAGGTCTGTAGTCAAACTCTCAGGGGTCCATAGTCTCTTGTACCA